ATTATCAAAAAGAAATTGAATTAAATTTGTAGATAATAAAGAAAATTTAATAGTAGAAGAAAAATGTATAAGATTTTTTATTCTCTCTCTCAGTTATAACATATGAGAGCCATAACTGATGATCAGTGCGCACAAAATTTATATTTAACGATCATAATTTTTTTATTACTTTCTTTCTTATTGAAAATTTTCTTATTATAGTACTTTAGTATTGAAATTAATAATAATAAAAAAGTACATCATGCCGTGAATTAAATTACTTATGATATATATATGTATGTATATATAACATATATTTATGCATATTTACACTTGGAACATAAACTTCCAATATACTCGTATAATGTTACAAAAATAAATTATAATTTTTTAATATGCTTTAACCGCATTGATATTTAATTGTTGATCCTAAAATCGAATAAAAAAATTATACATAAATGTATATCGCGATGTACTAATAAAAAAAAAAACTATTTTAAATATGACACGTATCGGCATTTGTTGACTAATGACTGATTAATTGGTTCATGAAACTTGAAAATTGTTTTGAAAATATTTATATATAATTATATTCAATAAACTATATAGTTAGTATATATGCATACATATATACACAACTTAAATATTTGCACTCAATTACTCTTAAATAAGCGTCACGATCGCTCACTTTTTAAAGTAAAATTAAAATTTTTAAGATAACAGGCAGACGTAAAGTGATCAAACTACATCTTAAAAATGAGAATTATAAATTCAATAAAAAAGAAAAAAAAAAAAACAAATTGACATTTAAAGAGTGACATGATAAAAATTAATTTTCTCTCTCTCATTTTTCTTTTTTTTTTTATAAATATATTTTTGTATTTAAAAGGAAAAGGAATGCTTTACAGACACAGTAATCAACAAAGACAGGACATTGAATTTATTCGTGTTGCTTGATTATTATTTTTTTTTTTGTTGCATTTGTAACTTACACCCGGCAGATTATTTATATTTGTATGAAAGAAAAAAAAAAATTTTTTTTTTAGCATATCGATTACAAATGACGATAAAAATATGAACTGTAAAAAGTAAAAAAAAAAAAAGAAAACGTGATTTTTTCAATGAAATTTAAATTTTTTTTTTTCTTAAATTCTTTGAAATTATTTTTTATTTTTGCTTTATATTTAAAGATTTTACTGATATTAAAATGTTATGCACCAGAGTTATGCTGTTGTACAATATGTATACATTGGGATACTGTTATGTAAATTGTGTTTTAGTAGCACGCTTATAAAGGTAACAAAATTTATAAAGAGGTTATTACACTAAAACCATCACTTTTCCTCCCATTCTTTGATAAATTCTTAAATGTACATATTTTCTTAAATGTACGTATGTATGAGAGTATGTTGATGCTATCGTAAGTGAAAAATAACTTGTTATATATATATAAAAAGGATTGTAATCTTTGTAGTAGCTAAAATTTTTTAAAAATTTGATACTCAGCCGTATTTTTGTTACTTTTATTTTTTCCTCATTCAAAACAAAAACTGATGTATGACAAAAGGTACTTCCCTTTTGTCAATTAAAAATGTTTGCTTTTATTCCAAAAGAGATGTACTGAAAAGTGTTCTCTTATAAGAATCCTTGGGTTTATTTTTATTTTTATATAGATTTTCTTTTTATTTTTTTAACATAGATTTTGTCTTGATAACATTGTGCCAATATTGACAAGAATAATTATTATTTTTGACAATGACATCAATATTTCTTTTAATATTTTTTTATTCATATAAAGTGTTATTCTTAGAAACAAGTGTAGTTTTGTTTTACTACAACAGGATGTTATAAAAAGTATCTTGTATAAAAAGGTATTTTAATTGTTATTATATACGGAAACAAACACACAAATTTTACTTTTTCTTAAAATTATATCTTCTATTTTTTTGAAAATTATTAAAATGTTATAATTTTAATTATAGGGTTGCAATTTGAACGGGTTTGAAATACAAAAGAAGTCAGATTATGTAAATATGCAAATCAAGATAATATGTAAGTATATGTGAAATTTTTTAAGTAAATTTACATAAATTTTTGGTTAATATCTGATAGTTTATCTATATTAAATGGTAGTATGTAATTTATTTATAAAATATCAGTTCAAAAATGTATATAATCTTATATTTTTTCGAATTTCTCAAAATCTAATTATATTGAAATCATTGTACAATTTCTCAATAAAATTTTAAAAATTTTATTCTCATATCATTAAAATTGTGCTGTTATTTACAATAAGTGTACAGATGAAGAGCGAAAACAAAAAGAGAAAAGAAAGCTTTTCAAGACATTTCAAGTGACAATATTTATGATGTAACACATATGACGTAATTATGAGAATTTAGACAAAAGTGTAGAAATCCTTTAATAATTTAGTATATATAATAAATCATTAATAAAACAAAATAAGAGATTTGGAATTCCTTTTTGTCAATTATTTTCAGTGGAAAATATAAGATATTATTAAAGTTCCATATTTTTTGTATAAAAATATATGTCTAGTGTGAGAACATTGTGATTATGGCATAATGCAAATTATTTGTTAGCATTACGCCATTTAAAGAAAAAATAAAATAAAATTTTTGAAAATAAAGTCAAAGAAAAACCTTTGATTTTAATAAGGATCGAATGAGACAAAATTTATAAAAATTGTTTTAACAATTTTTTATACATACTTGTGCAGCAACAAATTTTGCAAACAGGCAGATGGTGTAATGATAACATTTTGTCTGTTATCATTACACCATCACAATTCATTTTATGATTTGTAAAGAAAGTCGATTAAGACAATTTTATTGGCTTATGAGCCTATAATTTGATGTGTTCTTCAATATCTAGCATGGTTTTATAAATGTGTACAATTATTTACATAACTATGGTAAAACAGTTAAATGGTATGACAAAACTATAGATATATAGTTCCTTAAATGTAAGCAAAAATCCTCGAAAATCTATTTGATATGTCTTTTTACAATTTGATTTTAAAATATTTTAAATCAAATAATTATAGTGACTAAGAAAAGGTGAAGATGTTAAGCTTAAGCGCTCATTAGTTTTAAATTTATTCAGAAAATTTTCCGTGAGATTTCCAATTATTTTCTATATATTCCATTATAGATATTCCATTATCCTATTTATTTTTTAAATTTCGTGATTTTATTTGAATATTAATTTTAAAATTGCTATAATTATTGTTGTGTTAAATATTAAATTTGCATTATAAAATTCAAAAATTTCACATTTTATGTACATTTTTTTAATTTTAAATTTATTTTGCAATTACGTATAATAAAAATTATTATTTTCATGTTATTTAACAGCATTCTAATTATTTAATTAATATTGCAGAAATTTATTTGTTTTAATTAATTTTATATTCTATGAAAAAAAAAATTATTTTGTTAAATTGGAACAAAAAAAAAATCTAGTCAAAGTGTGTTTTTCGTTCATTTAGAATTTTTCCTTTTTTGTTTAAAAATTGGAAAAAAAAATCAAAGGAAAATAAAAGTGAGGTTATTTACAAAAATAAATTGAATATTTTTTTGTTTCTTTTGTTTTTTTTTTAGTTTAAAGTACAAATTAAACAAAATTATCTTGCAAAATTAAGAAGAGTAAAAAACAAGATTTTGCTTTAAAATTGTTGAAATTGTTATTGAGTACGTATTTTTTCATGTAAATTGAAAAAAAAAACAATTATATTCAAAAATATCAAATTAAATACGTTTATTAAGAAAAATAAAAAAAAAATTAAATAAGAAAATATACGCCAACTGTTTGTTTGTTTTTTTAGTAAATAAATTTAACATTTTCGCTGCCAGAAAGGATAATCATTACAATATAATAAAAAAAAACATGAATTCTTTTGAAAACAATTCACTATTAAAAGGCATAGAATATCGGAATTCAATTTAGTGATTGCGTTTCACACCAATTTTTTATTTACATATGGAATAAATCGTTCCGAATTGCATTCACAAAAGCATGTAAGCAGTTTTACACGAAATAAAATGTATAATTTATTTATTTATTTACAATAAGATCTAAGAGGCCCAACTCCTTCTGGGTTTCCATGGGCTCAAAATGCACAATTAAATTGAATTGAAATGAATTTTCTACTCTTAAAAAATCATGCAAAAAATTTGCTATTAAATTTATGAAATTATATTTCAAATAATGTTAATAATGGCAGTTTTAATGTGAAAACGTAGCCCTTATAAAATAATATAATTTTAAAATTTAAGTAAGCAATTTTTAATTAACATTATTTTATAAGCATACATAAAAAAAATCTTTTGCGTGGAATTAATTTATTACATTTTTGGAAACAAGTTTCATTTCTTAAATTTTCTGAAACCAATAATTGAGTGATTTTCTCTTAATAACATTAATTTTATTTTAGTGATTGCCGATATTGCGACAATTATTTTGAGTACATATTTTAACATTCAATTATTAATTTAAAAAAATTTAAAAATTTTGCGATATTAATAATTTTTCATTAATGGATACCTTAATTTTCCCAATATGTACATTTAAAGAATTTGAAAATTCAATTTAGCCTGGGCATGAACCAATTGAAATATGAATTTTTTAAATTAATTTTGAAAAATGTGCTACAGGTGGTGCACTGTTAATATTTTTATTTCTTAAAATTTGACTTTTATTAGTAATGTTTAATTTATTGTTATATGTCCGATATTTAATTTGGAAAATCATTTAAAAGTAAAATATCGAGAATTTTTATTTTTCTAATTTAATTAAATATGGCAGCGAAAAAGTTAAACGAAAAAAGTATTGAATTATAAAAAAAAAATTGAAAAAAATGCAAATTCTATTTATTTGTTTTTTTTTTTTTTGGTTTAATTAATAATTAATTATTATTAAAAAAGGAAAACAAAAGTTGACAAAAAAAAAACAAGAATATTTTATATTTTGTTAAAAAAATATTAAATTTTGAAATATACCAATGAAATAGTATCTGTGTATCCCTTGCCGGACTGGAGGGTTTTATATGAATATTTTTTTTTTTTATTAAATACATGAAAATTTTAATTATTTTTATATTTTTGTAATTTTGTCCCAGTTTTATTTTTTTTTTAATAATTTTTTTTTTGTTTATATTTCATTTTTATAAAATAGAAAAAGAAAAAGATGAAAAAATTTTATAATTAATTTTTTTTTATATTTGTATAAAATTAAAAAAAAAACATAATTTATTTTTATAAATATTTTTTTTTCATATACTTATATGTAGAAACATTATAATAATATAATTATGATTTAAAAAAAAAATGGTGAAAATATTATAAATAAATTTATAAATTAAGAAAAATGAAAAAGTTAATTTAAAAAAAGAAAGCAATTGCATACTGTTAGGGGTCATTAATTTTGTTTATTTATCATTAATATAAATTATGATTTATTATTAATTAATTTTAAATTAATAATAAAAATAATTGAATTAGAATGGTAGTAACGTCACAGTTTATTCTTTGATTATTAAAATTTAATAAAATTAAAATTTTAACAAAATTCATTCTAATAAATCAATTAAAATTTAAGCATCCTTCTAGACCATAATTACTTATTTGTTCACATTGTAATTAAAACGCAAGCTTTTCCTCTATTGGTTATATTAAAAGTGGATTCTTGATTATAATAAAATGCTTAATTTATTTTAAACATTTAAATATAAAATTTTCAAAAATTGAAATTTTTATTGAAATTAATAATGAATAAAATTTTATTGAAGTTTTAATTACTACTCGTATATTGAATTGGTCTAGTATAATAACAACTATGTACTGGCGCCTGATTCTCGAAAATTTTCCAAATGAAATACAAAAAGGTTGATAATTGCAAACAAAAAAAAAGGCTATATTGCAATTTATCAAATAACGCATTTCTATTCAGATATACTTGGGACCTTTTTTTTTCTTATCTAACTTTTCCATTTTTCCATCTTTTTTTTTCTATATCAAAAAGAATAATTCATTTAAGCATTAAAAATAATTAATTTTTTTTTTATTTTTTATTAAACCTCAATCACTTAATTTAAAATAAAGCAATAATAATATTTGTAACTAGAAAAATGTAAATATTTAAAGGGAAAAGAAATAATAATTATAAGAAGAAAAAAAAAAAATAAATTAAAATTTAATGAAAAAAATTTTGTTTTACCATTTTGTTTAACGGAAGCATTCTGTTCGCTGCCAAAAATGTTTGACGCCATATGATTTTTAACTGAGCGTGGTGTTTGCGGCATATCGTCACCAAATAATTGGCTGTTTCCACCACCTGGTGGTCTCAAGACTCTGTAAGAATTAAAATAAAAAAATTATTAAATATAAAAAAAATAGAATACTAATTGTTTCCTATATTAAATATTTTGTACAGGATTAAAGAGTTAAATTTAATTTTGAAATATGTAGTAATTATAGAATTCTATAGATTGTTGTAGATATGAAAAGTTTTCATTGAATTTTCATTTATTTTTAGAATTTATTACGTATTTAGTTTAATTTTTTCTTCAAAGAATAATTAATTAAAAATATGTTTTAAAAATATATATACAAGTGCTTATTGCACTAAATTTTTTTTTATAAAGACCGACAAATAAAACTTTTAATTATTTTTAAATTTATTTAATTATTTTTAGAAATTTTATTGATTTTTTTTTTAATTTTATAAATTAAAATTATTGATTTTATTATATACTCGTATATGTATGTACATACGTTTAAAGATTAATTATAATTATAACATTTTTATATTAAAAAAATCTAATTGAGAAAAATATTAGGCATTTTTTTTTAAAGCAAAAGATATTTTTTGCATATTTCTCGGCAAGAGAGATAGCAAAATCGTTATAAACATTATCGACCAGTGTTCATATGTTTACGCATTATTTCTTTTGCATATTGATGCAGAAAGATATGATTTTGAAAAATATACCAACTTCATATATTAATAAAGGACAGACTAGAACAGTATAATTATATTTTAGGAATTATATTTTAGGAATTTTGTTTAAAAACAAATTGCATAATAAAATAATTTTAAATAATAAAATGTTATACATAGTAAATTTGCCGAGGGGACTAGTAAAATTTTCCATAATATATATTAATACCTTGATAGATGTAAAAAGGAGAAGACCGTTTCAAGCTCATAATACTTAATTCAGCTTGAAAAACCAATAAATTTTTTCTTGGAAATTTTTGTTCGGAAATATTAAATATATGTTAAAAATTTTGATTATAATTGTTAACGAATAAAAAATTTTACGAATTTAAATAAAAAAAATTATTTAATATTGATTGATTTTTGTAAGAATTTTATTAAAAAAATTATTAGAACCCAACAATAATTTTTATATGTTAAAATTTTTCAATTAATCTTTATAATTATTATCTTTCATTTCGAACATCTTTAAATTGTAGCAATTCAAGAGCAATTATTTTTATTCTATTATTAAATATTTTAAGGTAGTTATTGTTAAAAATCAACTACAATTTTTATAAACCATAATTATTTCAAAATAAAAGAAATGAAATTAAGGCATAAGAAAAAAACTGTATATGAAACAAGAATAAGGGGCGGAGGCACATAATCTAATTCCGAAATTCCATTGAAAATGTAATGATTACCAGATTTATAACAAAAAAAAAAAATCAACATTTATTTGTTAAGCTTTTCAATTCTTTTTGTAAACTTCTATATAATAGAAGGGTAACCTTCTTTTTACATTCTCCACTTGAACTTAAAAAAAAAACAACAATTCATCTAACGTTTTAGATTCTTACATTTCATTCATTGTAAAACTTGATGATAACTCCCTGTTTTTTCTCATTTTTTTATTGTTTTCATTAACTAAGTATAATGAGACAATAAAATATTTAAGGTGAACAAAAAATGTTACCCATATCAGGTGAGATAAAAATAAACTCAAAATAATGAAAATTGAAATGTTTTTGATTACCATAATTTTTTCCTCTTCTTTTTCTGTTTTTTGCAGTTATAGTTGAAAATATCTCTTTTTTTTTTGGTCAATATTTTTCTTGTATTATTCTTCTATTTCAATTCGTTATTCTGATTATTTTGTAATTTTTGTTATAACATCGTTTTTTGTTATCAGATAATGTTGTATAAGAGGATTGAGACGGATCGAATCGGATCATATTATACAGATGAATCTTTTGAAAAGATACAATAAAAGGCAAAAGAAAATTATGAAGATATCGTGATCCTATTGTTTTATGGGGAAAAAAGAGTTAGTAAAAGCATAAGACGACTTTTAATATTAAGAATTAATCGAAATATTTGAGGTTTTCGAAGATTAACTAAGAAAATATTGTTATACATTTTGAGTAACATGTTGTAGTTGGAATTAATTCAAAAGTAAGAAATTATTTTGAATACAAAAATATGCAGCGTTCTCTACCGGAACTGGCCGTGATCGTCTAGTGTTTACGACCCTACGTTGTATACCTACCGGAATAAATTTGCATAACTCCAAATGATTCTTTGCATAAGCTGTTGTTAAAAATGTTAAATAATTTGAGACTTATGTATGCACATTCTAGTATTATTTGAAATTATGCTAAATATGCGAACGCTTCGAATGTCGGATATCGAACAGAAGAAATTTACTTTAAATGGGGAATGAACTATTTAATTACAATCAACATAATTGCATTGTATTTGTTCATATACCTTTTTTTTTATCTAACTCCTTTTATTGTTACCTTGTAGCGGTATCTTTATTAAATTTTCTACATGTATTAAGAAATTAATTTTTTAATGTTCTTAAGAATTTGAACCCACTTTAAAAAAATAATTGATTTTTTTTTACCTTAAAATACTCTACATTTTTTTTTAACAAAAAACGCTTTTAATATTTTGTCTTAGATGCTTATAAAATAAGTTGAACTTTAGTATACAGTGAAACTCTCACAAATTGCCTTATTTTGTAAAGAAAATTTTATATGCGTATTCATCTTAAAAAAATTTTCTAATATATTACATAGAATTATTATTCTAGAAAATTATTATAAGCCTTTCTTTATGTCAAGGAAATTCAGGTATTTATATTTCTTAAATTCAATATTAATTATGAATATCTGGCGTTGCAAATTTCATAAAATTTTTTTACTTAAATTATTTACACGAAAACCTTATACCGTGCATTGTTAAACTTTCTTTAAAATTCCTCTTTAACTTAGATATTTACCGTATCAATAATGTATTAGAACAATAACTTGAAAATTCTTCTCAAATATCTGCTCAAATTTTTGAATCAATAGAACTTAGTTGAAGTTTCAGTAAACGTTGTACTGTATGTTTATTACGTATAGCACGGTGCCACTTCAATTGCAATAATAAAAGGTGATCATATAAAAAGAAAAAAAAAAGAAATATAAACGAAGATGATCCAAAAATGAAGAAGGAACAAAAAAAATTTTAAATTATAATGGACATTTTCTTCTTGAATGCAAATAAAAAACATTATGGGAGTAAAAATCATGACTTACAGATCAACGCACAGCCATATGAAAAATTTTATTGTTAAAAATTTAAAAATGATAAAATAAGGCAAAAGGTTAATACTGGATTTTTCATATTTTCCTTTAATATTTTTTTTCCGTTTTTTCTTTTATTAATTTTTAAAATTAATCTTGGTCATTTACATTTTATATAAAATTTAAAAAGGCATTCATCATTTCCAAACAAAATCAACAAAGAAAATAAAGACTTAAGAAATTAAATTGAGATTGTGAACTCAAATTGTGAAAAATTGTATACTTAATGGCAACCGTAACAAGTAATAAAAAAGAAAAAATTAATTTGAATTTTTCATAATAAGAATTAAGTTTTTGTAATTTGAAGATGAATTGAAAATTTTAGTCCAATACTCACGAATAAAATATTATTCAAATTTACTTAAAAATCACTTATCATCTCCCAACTTATAGGTAATTTTGTTACTTAATTCATAATTTTTTTAATTTATTAATATCAATGCCTTTAATTATAGGTTTTTCATATTAAAACAAATAAATCGGCTTATTTCAAATATTGTTTCATATGTATTACAATAAGTTGAATAACAAATTTTAGCTTTGATTGGGTCTAAATTGAATTTTTAATTATGTGTTTAGTCAAATTTAATATATGCAGTATAAGTTATAAAGTAGAAACAAAAAATTTGAAGTTGTAGAATAATTAAACTCAACCTTCAAAATTTATGTTAAAATGATAATGGAAGATTTGACTAGGCCAGCCAATGTGATACTTTTACGAATGAATGATGCAGTTTAAATTGCTGCAAGCAAAATATCATAAGGATTCATATTTCCTGAAATACTCTTTGTTTTATTAGTATAGATGGTATTAAAATGATTTGTACTAAATTTGATAACTGTATTATTTTGAAATTTATATATGTCAACATCTCTCAGACCCTCAGATAGTTTTATAAAATAAATGAGTGATTTTATTCCGTAAGGTTACGATAAGCATTCGATATTATAAGTAAGTAAAGAATTTGCAATTTTATTGGTATTGCAGTCATACTATAGGATAGATTATAAACAGGACATAAAAAATTATTTTGTAAAAATTATTTTGCTGTCCGAAGGAATTTTACGAAACTTACCTTTTAATTGCAATAAGAACGATTTTTTTTTTATTCATGTAATCGTAAAGTAAGTTTAATGAAAATCGAATACAATTTATTATCTTATCAAATAATGAGGAGAAATGGGAAATCGAGAATTTATTTTAAGCTTTAAAGAGTGAAAGAGTAATTAAATTCGAAGCAAAAGAATCTCTTTCATTTTGATAACATGACTAATTTATATTTAAAAAAAAAAATATTTCTTTTTTATTTTGCTTTTGAAATCAAGTGGAGGGTTTATGTCTCCTCAATTACATAATTTCTTAATTCTGATAACCACGCAACGCAATTTATTTCAATATCATTTTTTTTTTATCTCGTAAAATACTTTCTTAAAATAAAATAATAAAAATCAAAAGAAGACAAAATCATATTATCAAGAAAATAAGCCAACGCAAAAAATATTTAATAAAAGCAAATGTATAAAAGAAACAGAAGAAGACGAAGAAGACAAAAATATACTTTAGAATTCATTATTATTCGGTACATACAAGTTGTTATGCTGGTCCTGAAGGCTTTTCAAAAGGATATATTTCAGATGGTTTACTACTACACTTACTACCCACGTTTAATATTCCAATTAAATTTTTTTTTTTAATTTTAATTTTTAATTTTAACTTAATTACATTAAGAATA